GTCAGCCTTCCTGCTCCTATGATGCTGCTTGGCCTGCTGTGTTCATCCAGCTCTATACCTTGTTACCAATAAAATTAAATTATCTGGTCATTTATTCATTTACAACTTGTGGCACCTTGCAATTGCTGACAACAGTGACTGCAATTCAAAAATTAATTGGCTGGTTACAATACACTTCAATTTGCCCCAAGAATGTGGTATGCATTGTAAAACGCTTCAGCTTTCTTTTGAAAAATTAAACCTTTATCTATTTCAAAGAAATATTACACTTCTATTTTGACCAGCAAAATCACCCTAGAATACATTCCACACTACAATATTCATCGTGATTCACTCAATCTGATGTAATGCTTTCACATATTTCAATGATTCACCAAGTTCTGCTACATAAAAGCAAAGAAAATAGGAAACAGAAAATAAGAGCAGGAGTAGGCCATTTGGCCCTTCGAGTCTGCTCCACCATTCAATATGATCATGGATGATCATCCATTATGCTTCTTCCTGCTTTCAGTTCATACCCTTTGATCCCTTTAGATTGAAACAAGCAATCAAGACATTTGAGAAGGAGAAAACATCAATTTACACCATTCATCCTGCCCCAATGTTTACTGAAATTCTAATGCATGGTTTTGTTATATTAAAAGGTTTTCCAACATTCATATTCCACTCTTTATAAACTTCCACCAATCCAAAATTCCTGAGCAATGCTCTGTCACAAAGCTGCCACAGTCTCAAAATTCAGTCACTATCTCCTGTCCCCTTGACCTTCTCCCATAGTGACTTCCTCTAATTCTTCCTTCATCAGTTCATTCCTTGTCTCCTGCTTGTAAGATGCACTGCTCAAGGCATTTTTTTTTAAAATGGCATGATGTTAGATGTAAGTTGTTATCATCTTCAGGGCAGTTTATGGATACAAATTTATGAAATGTGAGCAGCCGTACCTGGCTTGTTGAATAGCATCCACCCACGTCTCACAGTCAGCCTCCTCCTCAATCCGGAGCTCCAATGGTTTATGTCCGTCATGGCCAAAATTTATGGTGAAGTAATGCTGCAAAAACAGGACATTATAACATTAATTACGACGACTTTTGATGGTGCCCCGAAATATTAGAGCAGGGAGTATTTTCATGGCATTCAGATTTCACCAAAATTATGCAAAGTAAATTTCAAAGCCACTTATTAACAAACAGTAAATTTGACAGCTCATTAAATGCTGAAAACATCCAGCTCCACCCATGTTTTGAATGGCAGAGATGGGTCCTGTTGTAGAAGGTAGCAACTGCAAGGTGCATCTGACGTCACAATAAGTGGCTTCCCAACATTGTGTGCACTGCCCAGTTGACTGAGTGGCTCAATAACAATAACAACTCAGGATCAGGGGTAGCTCCCTCAAGCCTGTTGCCCCTTCAATGGGATCATGGTTGATTGCGACCTAAAACATATACTTTATTTAAACATGATGTTGAAGTCCCAATCTAAAGATTGTAACCCTGTACTGCATATCCCATCATTGATTATCCATAAAATGGCTAAGTAGGGCCAGAAGGTGGGCTCGCTGTCCAATTAAGGTCACGGGGTAGGCTCTCTAAACTGGTGGACTATTGAAAGTGCAGAAGTTTGGCTTTCCAATGAGAGAGCGTGGAATCGCCAACTTTTTACACTATCAAATTTCAAAACATCTTCTAGAGCCAGGCCACCATTGTGGGCGAGAAGGCTTCATGGTCTGTCTGGAGCTCTGTCCTCCTGCTCCACCACCAAGCAGCTGACCCCAGGGCCCAGTGCCTCAGGAGGCCCACAAGCTGACTGAAATTTCCCAAGTTGGCCTAATTATCATTCATTACCTTCCTGCTGCTTTTGGGTGACCCTACCAACTCCAATTCTACCTCTGGGAAAATGGCCAAGAAAGGATGGAGCCAGCAAACTGTCATGGTGGTTATCGGTGTGAATTATTTCACTGGCTTCTCTCTCTACCCACCATTTCCTGTAGGTTCCAATGGTCTACAAGACCTCCACCATAAAACTACATTATTCCCTACATTATTTGATTGATCAAAATAGAACAAGCTTGACTTCAAAATCAAGAACAGACAACTCAACGCGAGAACTAAATTGGAAACAGTCACCATTGCTGTTTTCTCTCATAAAACCAAAAATTTTAAGTAACAGGTTCTTTCCAATCTGTATCTCTCACTTCCCATTTCAACATTCTCACAACTTCCTGAATGTTTCCTCGAGTCTTTTTTACCTCAAAGATGGATATCAAGTATACAGTTGAGGTAACTGTCATTTTCTGACTGCCAATTATAATTTTCTCCTGGCTCTGTCTCTAAGAGTTACACATTTACAATGTCAGGGACAAAGTGGGAACGGAGGTGAATTTAAATTATAGAATAGGTTTCTGAAGAAGCGTCCAGACCCGAAACGTCAGCTTTCCTGCTCCTCTGATGCTATTTGGCCTGCTGTGTTCATCCAGCTCTACACCTTGTTCTCTCCGATTCTCTAGCATCAGCAGTTCCTACTATCTCTGAATTTAAATTATGATTGCTTTTGCCATCATAAGCCCAAGACAGTCAGATATAATTTAATTTACTCCTTTCCCTTTTAACTCCATCACTCATTGAGGTAAGCCAAAGAGGGAATATCTCCCATTCGAAATCCCAGATTCTAATTTTTAAAATAAATTGACAGCAAAACCTTTTAAGCTGAAATCATCGGTAGTGATTATTAACCAATCACTCAGAACACAGGGTATGCTATGCCACTCCATTTAAAAACATATGCACTCCAGAAATTAAGGAAACATAGTAGGTAGGTTATATATTACAAGATTCAGTAAATTCAGTGCTGTTAAAAATCAGTTCATGCGTTTTACAACTTCCAATAGCATTTACTTCAGTGAGCCGGGCTTCTTGTAGGCAAAGCTAGAAATGTGAAGGCCAAGATCAAGGGTCAGAGGTAGGCTGGCTAGCATACCTGGAATCCATGCTTTTCCTCTGGTTGTCAAACTGTATCTGACTTGGAATCCCAAAATCACATCCTTAAATATTACATGTTTCTTCCTTTAATTTAGTACTAATTTTAAACTTCTCCTGTTAGCTACAGGAAGTTTAAGCAAACAAAGCAAAGCTCACAAAGAAATTCAGGATCCTGTCAAGACTGCAGACAAGGCAGGGAGATCCATTACTTAAACTATGGTAAATGCGGAAAGCAGTTACTTCAAACAATGAGGCTAACCAGGAAAAACCCGTGAATTAATGGGGATTGTTGTTTTTAAATCGCTCACAATGGGAATCATCTAGGGATATCTGGTAAAGGAATGATCTTATAAAGCTGCAAAGAGTGGGATTCATTCAGTAAAGCCATTAAGAGACCAGGGGTCATTTATCAGGGCTGTGCAAGATTCATCTAGAGAAACTATCAAAAAGCCTGGTGCTCTCCATTTTACCCTCAAAAGTTTAGAATCTTCCATTTAACTGCAGAAATTCTATGCTACAGATTTAAAAACAAGGAAAATAAGCAAGCATATTTGGAATACATAAAACATTTTACCATGGACTTTATGTTGATTTTAATAAGCATTTTCCCATCATACAGAATCCCATCAAGTCATACAACGCACAACACCACTTTAAAATATCTTTGAACGCCAAAGTGAAGCAAAATTCAAAAAATACCATGCGATCAAATGTATAACTCACAATTGATACACCACTTTCCTTTGAACTCTCCTTTATATTTGATCCTTAGAAGCCAGCGTTATTTTATTTTGGTTTGAAGAATCAAATCAAATAAATTGATTTAAATAATTATTTGTGTGATGAAAGGATTCTGTGCCACATATGCAGAACAGTTTTGTTTTAATTTGTTTACAGAAGGTGGCTGTCGCTGGCTCGGCCAGCACTTATTGTCCATCCTCAATTGCCCAGAGGACAGTTAAGTGTCAACCAATATTGTGCGCCAGACTAGGTTAGGATGGCAGTTTCCTTCCTTAAAGGACATTAGTGAACTGAATGGGTTTTTCTGACAGTTAACAACGGTTTCATGGCCATCACTAGACTCTTAATTCCAGGCTTTCTTTAAATTCAAACTTTACTGCCATAGTGGGATTTGAACCGGGGGTCCTTAGAACATTAACTGGGTTCTGGATTAATAGTCGAGCCATAATACCACGAGACCAATGCCTCCCCCAAACAAAAGTTTAATTGAATGGATACAGTAATTTGAGATGTAATAGTGGAAGGAGATTTTCTCAATCATTGCCTTTATTAAAATATTTACTCTACCAGCAGTGCACTCATAGATGTCCAAGTCCATCGCCATGGGTAATGATTTGGAAAATCTACTATGTACAACCTATCCATTCACTTTAAATTAGACTATAGTTCACATCAGCGTTCTCTCATTTTCTTTCCAGCTGCAGGGACCTCTGAAGCCTGTGTGTCACAGCAACTTCCAAAGCCAGAAGTCAATACGGTGATTGGTATGCTCATGCCTATTGCTGTGTGTGCAGCCACATAGCTTAAAGAGAATATTGGCTCACAGCACTTCTGACACACTGCAGGAATTTGAGTCTTGCCCCCAACAGTTATCTTACCTGATGCAGTGTGTTTTATGTTATTCCATGTAACATGAGAAACTGGACGTGGTTATCACGGGTACTGAAGAATCCAACACATACTTCGTACCGTAAAATATCATACACAATCATTGCATCTCTCAGACACCGTAAAGTCAGGGCTAACATTAAACTATTAAATTACGCAAAAGATCATTGGGCAGCATGCTTCTCGGAGCATGTCATGTTTCAACTGATCTGAGTTAAGATAGAATCGAGAACCATTACACCCTCAGTTCACTCGCTATGATACAATAACAATACCATGAGCATAGCTCTTGAAGGTATACTCACATACCTAACTTGAGCATAAAAAGAAGACATAATAGTAATTACAGAAACATACATTACAGATGACGCACTTTGGCCCATCAAGTCAAAACTGCCAAAACGATACTGGTCCCATTTTCCAGCACTAGGCCTATAGCCTTGAATCTTAAGACATTTTAAGTGCTCATCCAAGTTCTTTTTAAGAGGTAGTGAGGTTAGCTGCCTCAACAACCCTCCCAAGCAGTGCATTCCAGGAAACCACCACCTTTTGGATGCAAATATTTTTCCTCAAATCCTCTCTATACCTCCTGTCTTCCACCTTAAAACTGTGCCCTCTTATTGACCTTTCATTTAAGAGGTACAGCTATTTCTATCCACCCTGGCCATTTCCTCAATCTTATACACCTCTGTCAGGTTCGCTCTCATTCTCTGCCCTAAAGAAAACAAGCTGAGTTTATCCAGCCTCTTCTCATAGCTAAACTACTCCAGCCAAGGCAACATCCTGGTAAATCTCCTCTGTATCCCCTCCAGTGAAAACATATCCTTCCTATACTGTGGTGACCAGAACTGCACACAGATTCCAGCTGTGGTCTAACCAAAGCTCTTTATAGCTCAAACATAATCTCCCTGTTCTTATAATCTGTGCCATAACTGACAAAGGCAAGTGTCCTGTATGCCTTCTTAACTACCCAAATTAGTCTGTCCTGCCACCTCCAGGGATCTATGAACAAGCCCCCCAAGATCCCTCTGTTCCTCTGAGCTTCCTAGTGTCCTACCATTCATTGAGTACTCCCTTGTCTTTTTACTTCCTTCAAAGTGCATCAGCTCACATTTATCAGGTTTAAATTCCATCAGCCACTGATCTGCCATCCAACCAATCCATCTATATGTTTCTTCCTCACTGTTACCTACCAGTCAGATATATGGTACAGCTCTGCATTTCTGAAGGAGCCCTGATCAGAATCTCCTATCAGAGATGTGGAGCTCTTTCCTTGCACAAAGAAAGGAGCAGAGTGGCAATGTGAGTGTGACTGCTACTCCTCAAAAAATCCAGTCCTAAGTTCTCCAACTTGATATCATTGCAAGATGAATATCTTCTAAATTGATTTTGCTTTCCAGCTGAAAGTGTTTCCAAAACATGATAACATAGAAACCAGGAACAG